GACGAGGTACAAAACTGGGCCAATTTAGACTTTCAGTCTTCGCGTACTTGTGCGGTATTAAGTATAGACTAATGGTCTTACTCCTAAAAAATAAATAGACTTACAGAGCTCTACAAAGTGGCGTTTTTATAAAAAAATTTCAGTTTATAAAGCCGTTAAAGTCTTATTTATTTTCTATGAATTTGAGCGTAAGGTTTCGTGTTTGGGTATAAAAGAGATCAGTGGAAGGCGACCATCGGTATAAGATTTTATTTCATTACATTTGTTGCCATTTGCTTTTGCATCGAACAGACCTTTACATAGTACAAATTGTCCGATCACTGTTTCCCCGAACCCACCGTGAAATTTGTAATCTCGTAAAAGGTGCCATTTGTGGTTTTGTGGTGAGTTTCACTGCTTGGCCTGGCACGGCGTAAGAAAATTTCCTCACTATGGGTCCGAGAACGGGCTAAAAGTGAAAGTACATAACATCCATTGCGACAACGTCACCGTCACCATCACCATCACCGTCAACGATGCTTATGCGTCAAGTTACACACTATCCATTTGACGTAGCGTCCGAAAAATCATAAAATCGCTGCTAATCTTTACAAAATTTGCGTTTTACTTTTGCACTTCTTCCATTAGGTTTTGCTCCATAATTTTTTTAAATTTCGTTTTTCCATGATCTAATTTTCACAAACTGAAAAAATTTACGTTCAAACATGTAAACAAAACACTGAATAGTTGTCAGTTGATGCAAACGCATAAGCAAAATTGAGAGTTGATCTAATTTGTGCGGCACCGTCACCGTCAGCTTGTTCATGTAACTTACTTCATACAAATGCACCGAATCAGCTATTTTGACAACTGCCGGTGACGGTGACGGTGACGCAATGGACGTTATGTACTTTCACTTTAAGCCAGTAAACAGTACAACATCAGTGTTGCCAGATAGAAAACTAAGTAAGTATGAACAGTTTTTAATGCACATAGTTAAGTTGCAGTTTGAGAACAAAAAAATGAAGATTAAACTGTGATTTTGTTCCAATTAAAAATATTTGCGTTAAAGGAAATGCGAATTTAAAAAAATTCGTAAAAAAGAGTAAAAATTTGTATTCTTACGTACAGCAATCAGAAGTTAGCATAAATGAAAAAAAAACCGAAAGGCTTCCTGGTTCTGTTTATTAAAATTTTTTATATGTTGTCGATTTTAACATGCAAAAGACGCTTTTTGACAACCAAACTGACGCTTTCTCACTACAATAACTTGGCAACACTGTACAGCATGCACCGCAAAATACATTTTTTTTTGTCGTAGTTTATTATCAAGTTGTGCAACTGACAACCACTTGGTGCAGCTTGCCATACATTTATGAAGGCTCGCATTTCGCCCAATCACGTATGTCAAACTTTGAGCTAATACCGTATGTCAAAGTTTTGACACTGCAATAACTTCCTGAATGACTGAAAATTTCATTCTGGATTTGGCACGGGGTAAGTTTGGTAGTAATTAGTATTTTATTAGTGTTATTTAATTCATTCATTTCATTTTCAGATTCGTATTGTAAGAAATTGAACGGAACTTCTAGAAATTAGCACAAATAAGCGGTTCTGAAACGACTGATGTGGCAAATGAGATTCAGCGAATTCAAATTGTGATCGCTTAGATTAGGGATGCACAGCAGAGGTGCACGCAGTCGACGTCACGAGCAAACTGCGCGCACGCTAGCGTGCTAGACAAGGTGAAGTGAGCTGTACGGAGATGGCATCGTATAAATATTAACCACTACACACTTATTTTCAGTAAAAATGCCTGTATGTATGTGTACTTTTGCGACAACTGAGCCAGTGTGGCATAAGGCCACCAGAAAAAGCCAATTTTTCCAAAACAAAAGCGCCAAGTTTTTATTATCATGTTTAATAATTTTTTTGATTCAGTAAAAAGGGTATATACATATCCATTTCCTCACGTTTTTATTAATAAATTAATTTCAATACATTTATAACAACGCAAAACATATTTAATTTACCTATTCCTCACATTTTATTCAGTAAATGAATTCCATCTTAATGTAGAATATTAGTGTATAGTGTATACATACGTACATATGTACCTATGAATTTAGTGTGCTTACATTAAAAAAGCATCACTAAATACCGCACCAAGCATTGAATTCTAATTATTTTGGCTTTTTGGTTTCCCAAAAGCACTAAATTTAGTGCAAAATGCACGACCTTGGCAACAGTGAGCTGAGCACATCAATGCTCAAACAGTGACTAAGTATTGAGTAAATGCGCTATGTATATTTTTCTTTTAAAGCAAAAGTTCTAATTGGCGAGGGTATTGATTTTTGGTTCTTACATTGAACACTGACAAGATTCACAAACTTATCTTAGGACTTAATTAAAATAATCAACATTATTGGTAGACGAATATATTTGTGTTCGTATGAAATAGTAGCTTATTTCGGGAGGCTGGCTTTAGTAAAATGTACCATTTCCTATATTCTTTAAACCACAAGGAATTTTTTTATGAGACTTTATACTAATATTGACTTTCTAGCATCGCAACTGCCTCCTTTACGTTTATTTTCCAAGAGTTCTTCAACGACTCGGCGCCAGTGAGTCTTTCGCAATCGTATGCTGCGAATGGTTCATTATACTAAAGCCAGTCTTCCGACATAAGATACTATTCTATACGAACACAGATATGTATACTTCCTTATAGGCTTGTAAAATGCCCAATACCCAAATCCCTCGCATGAGTTATTATCGGTAAAAAAGTGGGTACGCTCAAATCTGGCATCGCTACAGCAAGTACAGCGCCAGTGAATCAGTGTTGATATTTTAAGTACAATTGTACTTTTTTCAGTACAATTAATTTTAAAATGCACAAAAGTACAATTTGCCGACTTTAAGTACAATTTCAACATCAAAAATACTTTTTGTACCAAAAGCTCAAATATCTTCTAGCACTTTGATGCTTAATCCGTTTACATTTAAGTAAATGGATATACCTATATTTCATATTTGCTTCAAAACGAAATTATGAATTGTAATTTTGAATGTAAACGTGGTTGTAAACAGTAATATTAGTGATGTGCGTTATGGTGATTGTGATTTCTTATCGCCGGCGGGTGAAATATCCCTTATCGCTATTTATTTTGAAAAAATCTTTGGAAATTCAATTTACCTAATGGCGACCCTGCAGAAATAGAAGTAATTGAGCCATTCGGTGGTTGAAAGTAAAAAAATGTATGTAAATTCCATGCGTTGAAATTAAAAATTTCCATTGAGGATTTCCATTTTATCGGTACTGATCTCATTTTATGTAATTTAATATGAACTAACCTATATAGTGTATTAATGTTTTATCATCATTGTCTTCATCTTTGCCAAATTACACGGTCACCCGGTATTTATTTTATTTTTTTAAATAATTTGAATTATTCTTTTTATAAAATTGTAGCTCATTATCAAACAAAAACCTTGCAAATAAATCGAAACTTGAAAGAATGAAAAAAATCAACAAAGTTTCATCAAATTTTCACAGTTTTTGTTCAGAATTTGTAGACATGTTTTGGGTTAACATTTTTGTAGCCCATTCATTCTAGTATAATAAGGTGCAAGTTTGAAGTGTCTAGAAAATACCATTGATTTTTTGAATTTTTCTGTTTGCGGTGTTGCGCACTTTCTTCCATATAACGAACGTTCGCATTTTATGTTATATGGATGAATGCGCGTGTAGCGTTGTTGCTTTTTATTCCAATATTTTAAATTAAGCTTTATTTTATAGTTTTTCTTAGACAATAATAAATGATGTACACAAATTTCAGTATGGAAAAAAGTGCAACACCTTCAACGAAAAAAGTTCTCAAAAATTTACGCGAATTGAATGTACTATCTCGATCATTTAAACATCTCGGACTCGCCCACCACTAAAAATGATTATTTAAATCTAAAGTATATATTAAATGATATTTAATATTTGCTTTAGAGATGAAATTTCGACAAATTTGTTTAAACAAAAATGTTAAGCGCATATGCAGAATGTGGAAGGGAGATTCTTCTGCTTGCGTTTCTATGTTTTTATCATTTATTAGTTTAAGCACATACGATTAAATGTAAAAAAAATATTTTTAATTGCGGATCCGAAAGAAATATTTATTAGTTGCATTGAGTTACGCAAAAATAGTGCCGAAAATCAATCGATTGTGCTGAAGGTGCCGGCTGCTTCCGAAAGGGCCGAAAATGGCACAATGCACACTCATTTTCCATCACTGTCACACATACAATCTCACTATTCTGTTGACTTCGTTTTCCCCTTCCGATAACTTTTTTCTTCCGCGCTTGCCCAGCACCGCTGTGCAAAGCTTTGCACGCGCAGTCGCCCGCGACACATATGTGCTGATTTGGGCATCCCTAGCTTAGATGTTCTGCTGTATTAAGGGCCCGCTTCTCAAAGTCCAAGTGCGAAAATGCGCATTGACCAGTTCAAATGTGACAGAGTTCGCTGCAAATTTATAGGGACAAGCGACAACATCGTCTGATTCAGCTTTCTGAGCGTGAACAACTATTAAGCCATCGTTTTTCAAGCAATTCAGGTGCAACAGAAACGGGTCTTGACATAGACTATTTTTTGCACCATCACACGCAACTGATATGATTGCATCTTGAGGCAATATACTGTCCAGTTTAGTTAACCAACGAGAAACTCTCAAGGGCGCCCAACGTCGAATTCACGCTATCGGCAGCACATAGGCCTTTCTAATCACTATGAAGTTAATAGAACGACGCTTTGTGGAGGATAAATATGTAATTTTGGCCGGTATGGGTGTTACGCTGTTTATTATGGGCTTGGTCATATATTTTATAGTATTTTGAGTATAATAGCAGTAAGTTAATATGTAATCTAATTTTTAATCTTAAACATAGTTTGCAATACGAGTGAGTCGAATTCTGCCTTAAGATCGATGTGTTTAAATTATGTGGAAACAACTCAATAAATGCATTTTCAGATTCGCAGCTATGAACGCTTCACGGTTTGGATTATCCGTTTACATGCAATATCTGCGCTAAAGCTTCGCGCCGGCAAAATCCACTTATTAACCACATCAAAACTCATAAAGAATAGAGTACACAACACCATCATCAGCGGGCACATATCGATCCCAAGCCGTATAAATGTGAGCAATTAAAAAATCTAAATTTTCTTATTTCGTTATTTACTAATGGCCTTGCTCGTGAAAAATAAGTTAAAGTGTTCTTTATTTTTTATGAATTTGGGTATAAGTAATTTACATACATATGGTCATATACAATGTCGCTGTTATACCAAAAATGGCATGATAAAAAATCCTAGTAATTCTTGTGTAAAAATTGCTGCTGGCTCATTTTAGCTGAAGCATGCGAATACGCACCTATGTAAAGCAATGAAAATAATGCTGCTATGTGAAGAATTTCTTGCAGAATTTCGTCAGAATCCTCTTTACTTTTCGTACAGAAACCTCTTCACGAGTTCACATAACCCTCCTTGAAGTTTCGTAAAAAAAATCGCTACAGAAATGATTAAAGATTTTTGTTAAGATTTCGGGAACTTTGGTTTGCCGGGTACTTCCAAACATTTGTTTGTACCCAATGTACATAACTATGTGTGATCCCATAAAGAGTTTATTTATTTGAATAACAAAATAAAGAAGGACAATTCCTTTCCTTTTGTGGTCGATCTGCAGCTTTCATTTTTAAAGGTATAACTTTGACTATCAAATTTTTTTGGAAATACCTCAACGAGCTATTAAACAATATCTGACGTTTACCAGCAATATATATATATACCCAAGTTGATAATACTAATAAATCAATATATAACCCTGCCAACAACAACACCAAGGGTATAAACACAGATGTTAATGCCGCCAATCGCATTTTCGCAAATTCAACGAACTCTAGTGTCTGCCTAAGTGCATGCAATAACAACTTTAATCATCGTTCTCCTAATTTGCATGACTTAACTGTCGCTTCTGCTGTCTCGCCTTCCTACAATGCTTCACGGGCAAATTATGCTTCTGGTGATGTTGTTTGTTCGAAGAATGTTCAAGTCGCAAACAACAGCAACTCTAATAACGTATCACGTCCACTAACAACGCAAGCTCCGCCGTTAAATATCTCTCCTGCAAAAATTTCTGTCGACGATGAAGCTGTTCTTGTATTAAACGAAGGCACTGGTGTAATTGAGAATGCTTCTGCGCCCCCAGAAACCGGAGTCAATCGCTTTCTACAATCATATGTAGATGCTGCGGCTGCTGCTGTTGACACTGCGGCTGCTGCTGTTGACACTGCGGCCAGTAAGGATGATCCTACCCGCTTACGTGCCAAAAAGGCCGGCTACAACAACAAAAGCTCAAATCGTTCAAACAGTCAGAAAAATGCTAAGTCAAACGGAAATGACAAAACGCGTCACACCGTTGTTGGTTCCAACGCTAACTGCGAACTTTATGTTGCTGTTCGTCTCAAATGGTTTCACTTAAGCTCGTTCAAACCCTCCGTTGAAACTAAAGACATTTCCGCTTATTTTGCTAGGCATGCAAATATCGATGCTAATCTTATATCCTGCTGTAAGGTAATAAAAAAAGATGATCCAAGCGAATCTACGGGTTAATTTCAAAATCGGAATTCCACCGTCTTACATCAATAAGCTATTAGACTCGGAGTTATGACCAGAAGAAGTCAAGATTCGCCCATTTGATTTTTTTCAAAAAAGGCCCCCGATGGAAGCAAACCGCTGATGGATACATTTGTCAGAAATTCTAAGCTCTCTGTCTATTTTCATAATATTGGCGGTTTGCGTACGAAAACAAATGCTCTGTACGAATCAGCTGCAACACACGAATTCGACATTATCATACTTGTTGAGACCTGACTAACTACAGATTTTCTATCCCCAGAGCTTTTGGACGATTACTATGAAGTTTATCGTAAAGACCGAATACTACAGGCTGGAGTAACTAGAGGTGGCGGCATATTGGTTGCAGTGTCATCTTCCCTTCCTAGTCATGAGGTAGAACTTTTTCATACTGGCGATAACATCGAGCAAATCTGTGTCGCTGTTAATATGGATGAAACGCATCGCGATAGTTTTAATGAAATCTTTTTTATTGTAAGTTACATCCCACCTAATAATGGTTACGACATATATAAGTCACATATTGATAATATTAGCCTTATTATGGACTCTTTGCAACAATATCAAACGCCATGCATTATAGGTGATTTTAATTGGGGTTCTATTCAATGGGGAAAAAATTCTGAAGATGGCATTTTAACTCATTTTACCTCTAAAAGGGATATTGAAGACTTGCTTTGTGATACATTATATTCTTTTGACTTAATTCAAATTAACGACATTGTAAGCGACCTAAGCAGAATACTAGATTTAGCATATATAAATAATGACATTGCCTTTAATATTTATAGATATGATATACTTCTAACCTGTGAATCGGTTCATAATAAAGCAATTGCAATCCAATTTTCATTCTATATGTACGAAAATGATCATAGCGAACCCAAATATATCTTTAATTATGCTAAAGCAAACTTTGCGGCCCTTTCCGTGGTACACGAAAGATATACTAAGACTGAAAAATCAGCGGAATAATGCACAAAAAAATTTAGAGAAACTGGTTCCATCGATGACAAAAAAAATGTTTGTCCAGCGTAGAAAAGAATTTGAATGCTTATCAAAATTTGTACACGACAAATATATTAATTCACTAGAGACTAATATTAAAGTTAACCCTAAATTATTTTGGTTGTTTTTGAACTCAAAACGTAAAGTTAATGGCATCCCGAAATCCATGGCCTTTGGAGACTCTATCGCTTCCACAACACAAGAATCATGTGAACTTTTCGCTCGATTCTATGGGTCGTTTGACACCTCTACTTTACTGGAATGTACAAATATCGAACAGTTTGCTATCACTGAAGAACAAGTTCTGGAAGCGCTTTTAGACTTACATAGATGTTTCAAAAGGAGCAGGATATGACCTTTTGCCGCCCTTGTTTCTAAGAAGTTGTGCAATCTCTCTTTATCTGCCCCTTATCAAAATTTTCAGTAAGCCCCTTGAAAGCGGTGACTTCCTTGGCGAGTGGAAGACGTCATTTATCTCCCCAATTTATAAGTCGGGCCTACGAAATTTAGCTGAAAACTAGCGCCCCATTGTAAAACTGTCTACCATTCCAAAGCTGTTGGATAAAATTGTAAACAACCAGCTCTTTGGAGCATTTAAGAGTTATATTGTTACGCAGCAGCACGGTTTTTACCCAGGCAGATCCACCAATACAAATCTTGCCATATTCCTAAATTTCGTGGTCAATGCGATGGAAAAGGGTGAACAAGTGGACACTCTGTACACGGACTTTGTAAAAGCTTTTGACAGCCCTAAACCATATTTTGTTTCTTATTAAACTCGAGAAGCTTGGAGTTCACTCCAACGCTTTAAAATGGCTTGAGCCCTACTTAGAAGACAGAAAATTGGTGGTTAAAATTGGCAACAACCTGTCTAAATCTATAACTGTCACATCGGGGGTTCCGCGGGGTAGTCATTTAGGCCCCTTGCTTTTTTCAATATTTATAAATGACATCATCCAAACTTTGAAATGTTCCAACTGTTTGATGTACGCCGACGATTTAAAACTATACTATCGAGTAAAAGACCTAGAAGACTGTGTTATACTACAGTTAGACATATCAGTGCTGATAAGCTGGTGTAATTGCAACGGTCTTTCTTTAAACTTCTCAAAATGCAACATTATTACATTTTCTCGTAAAAATGCCTGTATAAAGTATAATTACACATTTAACGACGGCGAGCCCTTTAATCGTGTAACCACTGTCAAGGATTTAGGTGTGTACTTAGGGCCAATTTCACAGTGCGTAGTTAACTCAGACTCGACAGTTAACTAGAGATTTTCAGTGCAAAATTCTGTAGTTAACTCCCGATTCTGAGTTAACTACGCATTGTGAAATTGGCCCTTAGACTCGAAACTAAACATCGATTTTCACAGAGAACATATAGTCTGTGCGGCAAACTCTAAATTGGGTTTTCTCAAACGTAACTCAAAGGACTTTTTAGATCCTCTCACACTTTAAAGTCTTTACACATGCTTGGTGAGATCTATCTGGGAATACGCGTGCATTATTTGGGACTCAGATTTTGTCACTCACTCTGACCGCATAGAAAGAGTTCAGAGGCGTTTTACTAAATTTGCCCTTCGACGCATGTTTTCTTATGAATCTATGCCATCTTACGAACTCAGATGCAGAATACTGAATTTACAATACCTTGCTAACAGGAGAAAAATTTGTAGTATCCTTTTCATCAAGGATATATGCGATAACAAAATCGATTCCCCAGAACTACCTTCGATTATACCTTTTTATGCGCCGGAGAGGCTTCTAAGAGAAAAATAAATTTTTTACGTACCAACGCGAAAAACGAAACTTGCTAGCAAAGAGCCATTCACTAATCCATTTGTGTATGTAACTCTATTTGTAATTACGTCGACTTTTACTCATGTAGAGAACGTTTTAAAATTAATATCAATGATTATTTTATTTTGAAATAATTTAAACATATGTTGTTGTTATCCTGTATGTATAAATATTATGACTATTTTTTATAACGTGTTATTTTTTTCCTGCTTATCTGTGAGGACAGTGTCCGGTAGATAATTAAACAAATAAACAAATATATATACATACCTTGTTTATACCGACACATAAAGCGCTTTGACCCAGTACGTTGTAATTCAAAACGGATGCATAAACTAAATTTCAAAGCTCGTTGAAATTAAAAGGTGTATTGACTTGAATTTGTTTTCAGATGCTTTTTTCTCACATCAGTTAGAAAACAAGTATAAACGGATAATTCATTTGACTTGAAGGGAAGCTTATGCAGCCCGTTTTAAATTTGAACTATTGTGATAATAAATTCGAATTCCATTTGGTGAACCGAGTTAATTAATTATTAAAGGAATGTCGTATAAAAATAGCAGATGTTGTTTACTTTTGAATACGGCTTCATCGACTGCGCTATAAGGACAGAGGTATAAATACTTGAAAGAAATATTTGTTAAATTAAATCGGTTTTTTTGTTAATGTGGTTCTTGCGTGGGTATCAACAAG